GAGCCCTGTTCCTAAACTGAGAGAATCAAAACAAGAATAAATATCAAAATAGAAAGCAGGTAATGGAAAACTGGAAACTTGAGCAATAGCTTTACGGTTTCCTTCGGGAATGCACCCCACATTTTTTTAATATTTTCTATATGCGTATATAGCATTTTTAGGAAAGGACATTTTAATGGGCTCCGTGCAATTATCGTCTGTGTTACACAGTGTCAAGAAATAATTATACTATTATATTTGCGTTTACTATTAACGAGAGAAAAACCGAAAAATTGAAAACCGTTGCGTTAGTACAGTACACTTTGGGCGCTTTTCAGTCAACTAAAACATCTGGTTTGAAATTTCGGCAACTTCTAGTAGCGAATGGAACAGCATTTTCCAAAATTTCCAAAATGAGGACAACCTCGCAAAGTATACCCAAATTTTCGAAAATTTTTCCGAAAGTTTTCTTTCTACTCAACTTTGCCCGCGGAATTTCTATAATTTTCGCTTGAATGGTTCGCATTCCGGAAATTCAACAGTTTTCGGATTTTCTGGAAACGTTTTTCCCATTTGCAGCTATTTCCAAATTCTCGAAAGTTTCGGTTGAATGGAAAGCGCCATTTACCTTAGGGTCTGGTTCCAGAATGTAATTTCCCGCCATTCCAGCCTGTGAGTTTAGCGCAACTTTACGCGAGGTCCCACTGCCGGCACCTCCGCTCTCAGACCCAGTCACGTGTGACTTTGATGTCACGCGACCACATGCCACGCTACCCCCATTCTTGTCACGCGATGCTTTTGGTTTAGAAACAGGAACTGGTTTGTTACTTGTGTTCGCTGATGATGTCTTTTCTGTTGCCTCCTTCGATGCATTCTCTTGCTCACTGTTAGTCTCCTTTGTAGCAGCATTTGAAGAATTTGAATCAGCTTCAGAAGGAGGAACAATCGGTTCATTGTCCGATGTTTCGTCCATTGGGGCGACAGTTTCATCATTTACGGAAGAATGGTTGGAATCAACGTTTGTATCCAAATCCGGTTCTGGTGCAGATGCAAGACTTGGTGGTGAATTATCCTCTCTCGTAGTCATGGTACTGGNTTTGGTTTAGAAACAGGAACTGGTTTGTTACTTGTGTTCGCTGATGATGTCTTTTCTGTTGCCTCCTTCGATGCATTCTCTTGCTCACTGTTAGTCTCCTTTGTAGCAGCATTTGAAGAATTTGAATCAGCTTCAGAAGGAGGAACAATCGGTTCATTGTCCGATGTTTCGTCCATTGGGGCGACAGTTTCATCATTTACGGAAGAATGGTTGGAATCAACGTTTGTATCCAAATCAGGTTCTGGTGCAGATGTAAGACTTGGTGGTGAATTATCCTCGCTCGTAGTCATGGTACTGGTTAGGTGAACACTTAAATAAAAAAGGAACTAAAATTAACTTTCTCGCACTCATTGACAAAAACACAAGAAAAAAAATTGTAAACGCAATGTGTGGAATACTTTAATAATCATTCGATATTTGCAAATATTTGCTCTGACTGTGAACTGTTTAAATTGTGTTCCAAAATACCCCAACGTTGATGTCAAAAATCAGCTACGTCTCGTTTATAAATATTAACCAGTTCAGTAACAAAGTTTATGGGGGTAGCCTTGAAGTGGTTTGATTGTAACATCTGTCTCATTTGACTCCCAGAAAAACAGTTAAAAATCCTCCGCAATACTTTCTTGGACAAAAAAGTAACAAGACAGTCCCGGGGATAACGAAACTAAATAAACAGGACAACAGCTTACTTGCCAACGGGAGATGACCGCACATTTGTCACCGTGTCCGAATTATGCTCTTCGCGAACCACGTCAAGGGGTTGTGGTGGCGCGACAGCCTTCCATGGACTTGTAGAAGTTGTTATAGCAACCCAAGTGACTGTTCCTGCATTACCATCAGATCCACTACCAGTCGGTAGAGCCACGGCACATGCTCCGGCACTAAATTTGGGTGCAATAGGGCGGCCGTAAGCTGTACCTTCTATTTTCTGTTTTACAACCTTGGCTTTCGCTTTTTCTTGACTTTCACGGCGTTCCTTCTCTCGCTTTTTGTAATTTTTCATCCACTCTGGTTCCAACGATTGTCTGCTTCGCTGTCTCCGAATACGATGTTCTGCATAGTACAAACAAAGTTAGACGATTTATAGAAAATTAAGAAGCTGAAGGCGGCCAATTTCTTCTTTGACCCCCTCGACAACGAAACTACCGCGTTTGTTATCGACAACTAAAGTATTTTTCCTTTTTAAAAGAAAAATTAATTAACTCCAATAAAGATCATTGTTGACCTTTGAATTGAAATTTGAAAACTAAATTCTGCATTCACTAAATTCAATAGGTCTCAAGGAAAAAGCCATGTTTATTTAGTTAATTATTACCTGTAGAAACTTGTACCCTAGTGGGTTCTATCCAAATTTCTTTATATCTGCGATAGTACTTGACAACATTCTCAGGCGCTCGAGCGGATAGCAGATTCTTGCAGCGAATCTGTAGCTGTTTAGGACTTTTCACAGGCAGCAAATGCTCTTGAATTAGTTCCCATTTTTTGCCCAGTTGCTTCATCCCCATCGCCAGCAGATTATCTTCAGCATCCGAGAATTTGACCCGCAGCCCGTTCAACTGCTTGGGCGTGTCACCCGTCCTGGGGAGAAGATTATGAAGAGGAAGCAACTCAACGAACCGGAACACGTTTGTGTTCGCCGCCATTAACTGGACGTTGGTGTCGGACGGCGACGGAAGCAGCTCTTCTTCTACACGTCTGGAACGCCTCGTTGTTTTGGCGGGAGATTTGTTATCCTTCTTGGGAGTGGCGCATTTTCGTGGGCTCGGTGTTCTTCGTTTAGGTACGAAGGTGCTATTAACAATTCTGAAAAGAACCAGAGATTATTTTAAGTTCGATCGAGTCCGGTGTCACTGTATTTAGCACGAAAGTACTAACTGGGAACATTTATTTACGTCTCCTACTGTAGACGGGGCCGCCATTTTACGCGGTCATTCGAGCCACACGAAGACCTAGCCGTTTGCAAGGCAAAGGGAAAACCTTCACTTCTCAGTGTTATTTCAAGACCCTGAGTATTGTTCCGGCCCCAGGAATCGAACCCGCGATATCCCAAGCGCTCTACCGACTGATCTTATCCAGCCATGATAAAAAAGGGCACGCACAACACTTCACATAAGAGACTTACTCGACAGTATCCTCGAGAGGACGCGCACAAAACTTCACACTTAAGGGACTTACTCGACAGCGTCCTGGGGAGGACGCGCACATTACTTCACTTAGGGGACTTACTCGGCAGAATCCTCGACAGGACGCGCACAACACTTCACATAGGGGGCTTACCCAACAGCATCCTCGAAAGGACGCGCACAACTCTTCACATAAGGGACTTACTCGACAGCGTCCTCAAGCCCTGGGAAGCTAAATGCTGACGTATGCACCTTTCCGTCACCCAGTCCCCTTATGAGCTGAGCATTACATGCACGGTCTTGGAAACCTTTCAATTCAGTGACATAGTCACGTGTCAGCTTTGCTTCTTTGCTCAGGCTGTCATCCTCTCGCGACATCAAGTATATCTGTGTAAGGAGCTGTGTGTGCTGGAAAGAAAATTCTGATTAGAATTCGGAGTGAAAGACAAGGTGTCACACGAGCACATAATTTTTATGATAAATATGTAAACTGGTATAAAGCTACGGAAAGATGGGCAACAAAAACGAGCAACTTGCTTTGCAACATTGCTACAAAATGAGTTGAAAAACTGCGTTGCGCGTTTTACCACCCACCAATCAAACCTGCGTTAGAAGAGCACGAAGCGAGAGTCACGCGCGACGAAAGGGGCAAGAAGAAAAAACATCATTAACTTTAAGCGCCATGATTTTCTAATTCGATGGGTTTATTATGTTTTTTCTGGTGTAGGTGCTCCGCTCACCGCGCTTCCTGTAGTCTTATTTGGATTTTGCGCTTTCTTACAATGTAGGTCTCCATGTGTTTGCGGTCATAAGAAACAGTGTGAAGTAGAGCTGGCTTTTTATTGCAGCTGATGTTGTTGTTGTATTAAAACGCCTGATTAACTTCGTTCATGCGCACACCTCTGGGATCTGTTTTCAGCTTTCCACGATTCTAATTTTGTGATTTCCTCTAGGTCTAATTTGATCCCCGTGTTTGTGTCGTCATGATGACGCATGTGTATGACACGTAACTGGCTATAAGCACCATGAGTTTCGCCACTTTAGAAACGAGAAGGAAGCTGGGGAGAGTTAACTTTCGCAAAGACGACTGGGACTGTTACTAGGGTCTGTTACTAGGGACAGAGAAGAAAAATGCCCCATAGCTGACCGACGCGTCCCCAGTAACGATTCCAAAAACAGATTGCGGGATGCATTTCGGCTGCGGTCTCCATCTCGTTCTTAAGTGGCGAGGCGTGCTCCGCTCATGCGCAGTGTCTTCATCTACCTGTTGTAGTTGTACATTTAATCTGTCCAACTGCTGCTGCGAGAACAACTGAACATTATCCTGACTACTGGTCCTAAAGAAAAAAGATTACACACAAACAGTCAAAATGAAGATTTACTGTATGGACCGCTATGGACAGGGAAAAACAAAACACATGATATAGACCAAGGGTTTTTTTATTCTAACATCCACGTAAATTGCAAAGGTAGAGAAGTCTACAACAGTCATGAGAATAAAAATCAAGGCTATAGTGCTCAGGAAGGACTTTTTGAACCACGTTTTACACTGCATATCGATAGAACAATAATCATTTATCTTAATCAACTTAATTTTATACAAACATTTAAGAATAAAAATAAACGAAAGTGAAACGTGTGATTTCGAAAATTTTCATTCTTAAACATTTTACTTCATTAATTTTTTTTTATTGACTCGATGGCTTGACAGAACAGTGAAACAGTACATCTTCGATGTGTCTCTGTTTAATGTTTTGTAATACTTTATGCATTGTTTATACATCAATTGTATTAAAACAGAATGGGAAAAATAACAAAATACAAAAATACCAATGTAGAACTGTAGACAAAAACTGAAAAATGATTCCCAGCACAAATGTAGACTGAAAATTGTAGTAAGACTAGAACCAAAAGAAAATACTAACCCGCTATTTAGCATCTCCAGATACCCTACTGGTTCTCCTTCATCAGTCACACAATAGCCATCCTCGTTGTCATCAAACTGTGTAATCACAATTCAGTAAGGATTATGAAATAATTCAGTATTGCACAGTGTGTGATAAACAGAAACATCGTTTTTAAATCCTTCATAAAAAAGACAAATAATTGTTGTCCTAGTTTATACAAAATATTTAATACATCATGTACCGGTAATACTTACATCTTTAAGTAATTCCTCAAACAGTTCATTAACTTCCTTCTCTACAAGGAAACAAATAGCAACTCAAATATCATCAGACCTCTTTAATATTATAATGGACACCAATAGGACAGAACCAAATGTCTGTTTTACAGAGGTGTACATTTTATAGACTGACGCAAATGTAGGGACTGAAAAAGCTACCAAAGAAAGTCATGTCCGATAGCCTGGGGCTAGTAGATTTTGCTATTTGGCTACTGAATTCTATTCTAAACTTGCATGACGGGCAAATGAAGTGTTTGGGGGGAATTTAAATTACAGAAAAATTGCGATCAATTCTGCTCATCAAAAATTTTTTCGGGCTAGTTCAAATGACTCTTGGGCTGGTATGCACAGTGTACCAGTCTTATGCAAGAAAATGGCAGCAAGCTATTTTGTAAACAAATGCTCCATTAACAATATCATGACTGACGAAGAAATAGCCTACTGGCAGTAATCGAAAACAAAAAAAAATGTGCGATTTTATACAACATTACTAAACCTCAGCAATTAACTAATATAAACTAGAGTCCTGGTTCTTTGACAGTCACACATTAGTTACTTACGTGGAATTCTAACAGCTCTGTCATTCCTGTATTCTTCCTTTTCTTCTTTTTGGTCTTCCGCCATGAAATTGTATTCAGTATCCTCCTGATCATCTTCACCACAGACTTCATCTACATGTAAAACAAAAATAAAAATAATTGGATTATTTGACAAGCAATAATGGATTAAAACGTGCTAAACCATACACTACTTTGTGTATGTCTACAAGTACAAAAAAAAATACATATAGTGACAGCTGTTCAATAATCAAAAAGAGAAAAATACTGTATGCCAGCATTGAGATCTTAATAGTAAAAAACTATTAGCACAAAGTTCTAATATCATAGAGATGGACTCTAATGGTGGTAAGTATTAGCAAGGAATTCTTTTCACAATGAAAAAGTCAAAAACTCTGTCAAACATAAGGCACAGGGGCATACAAACTTCTTTATTATATGATCAACTGTTAAGTCTTTCCACATGTAGATGATCGTTGGCATTCTCCAAAAGCAGACAATATGAAGTGAATCTGGTTAACCAATGAGAGAAACTGAAGGGCTCAGTGCATTAGAATGACACCATTTTTGAAAGTGCTTCAAAGTAACTGAATTTTTGCATCAGAATTTTTATTTACATTGTAATAGACAAACATTGTTTACAGTGTGATAGACATACAGTGTAATAGACAAGCATTGTTTATGAACTTTTTGTTTGGCCATACAAGTGACTCTTTTACATTGCATAAATTGACCAGTGGAAGAATTGTTTGGCCAAGAAGGCTGGACATTAGCCTTCTTCAATTTTTGGCAAAAACCCAACTTTGTCTTAAAAAATAACTGCATTTAACATACTGAACTTGCACATCATCAATGATTCTCCTACATGTACATGGTATATACCTGAATTGACTAGTCCCTGAAGCCACTTCTGCCATTCAATGTCTTCAAAGTCCATATCATCCACTGGGATACTATCATACATATCAGCAGTGAAATCTGGAGGCTGGAATGTGGCTAAATAAAACAGAAGGTGTTGAATTCAGTGACATAGTCACGTGTCAGCTTTGCTTCTTTGCTCAGGCTGTCATCCTCTCGCGACATCAAGTATATCTGTGTAAGGAGCTGTGTGTGCTGGAAAGAAAATTCTGATTAGAATTCGGAGTGAAAGACAAGGTGTCACACGAGCACATAATTTTTATGATAAATATGTAAACTGGTATAAAGCTACGGAAAGATGGGCAACAAAAACGAGCAACTTGCTTTGCAACATTGCTACAAAATGAGTTGAAAAACTGCGTTGCGCGTTTTACCACCCACCAATCAAACCTGCGTTAGAAGAGCACGAAGCGAGAGTCACGCGCGACGAAAGGGGCAAGAAGAAAAAACATCATTAACTTTAAGCGCCATGATTTTCTAATTCGATGGGTTTATTATGTTTTTTCTGGTGTAGGTGCTCCGCTCACCGCGCTTCCTGTAGTCTTATTTGGATTTTGCGCTTTCTTACAATGTAGGTCTCCATGTGTTTGCGGTCATAAGAAACAGTGTGAAGTAGAGCTGGCTTTTTATTGCAGCTGATGTTGTTGTTGTATTAAAACGCCTGATTAACTTCGTTCATGCGCACACCTCTGGGATCTGTTTTCAGCTTTCCACGATTCTAATTTTGTGATTTCCTCTAGGTCTAATTTGATCCCCGTGTTTGTGTCGTCATGATGACGCATGTGTATGACACGTAACTGGCTATAAGCACCATGAGTTTCGCCACTTTAGAAACGAGAAGGAAGCTGGGGAGAGTTAACTTTCGCAAAGACGACTGGGACTGTTACTAGGGTCTGTTACTAGGGACAGAGAAGAAAAATGCCCCATAGCTGACCGACGCGTCCCCAGTAACGATTCCAAAAACAGATTGCGGGATGCATTTCGGCTGCGGTCTCCATCTCGTTCTTAAGTGGCGAGGCGTGCTCCGCTCATGCGCAGTGTCTTCATCTACCTGTTGTAGTTGTACATTTAATCTGTCCAACTGCTGCTGCGAGAACAACTGAACATTATCCTGACTACTGGTCCTAAAGAAAAAAGATTACACACAAACAGTCAAAATGAAGATTTACTGTATGGACCGCTATGGACAGGGAAAAACAAAACACATGATATAGACCAAGGGTTTTTTTATTCTAACATCCACGTAAATTGCAAAGGTAGAGAAGTCTACAACAGTCATGAGAATAAAAATCAAGGCTATAGTGCTCAGGAAGGACTTTTTGAACCACGTTTTACACTGCATATCGATAGAACAATAATCATTTATCTTAATCAACTTAATTTTATACAAACATTTAAGAATAAAAATAAACGAAAGTGAAACGTGTGATTTCGAAAATTTTCATTCTTAAACATTTTACTTCATTAATTTTTTTTTATTGACTCGATGGCTTGACAGAACAGTGAAACAGTACATCTTCGATGTGTCTCTGTTTAATGTTTTGTAATACTTTATGCATTGTTTATACATCAATTGTATTAAAACAGAATGGGAAAAATAACAAAATACAAAAATACCAATGTAGAACTGTAGACAAAAACTGAAAAATGATTCCCAGCACAAATGTAGACTGAAAATTGTAGTAAGACTAGAACCAAAAGAAAATACTAACCCGCTATTTAGCATCTCCAGATACCCTACTGGTTCTCCTTCATCAGTCACACAATAGCCATCCTCGTTGTCATCAAACTGTGTAATCACAATTCAGTAAGGATTATGAAATAATTCAGTATTGCACAGTGTGTGATAAACAGAAACATCGTTTTTAAATCCTTCATAAAAAAGACAAATAATTGTTGTCCTAGTTTATACAAAATATTTAATACATCATGTACCGGTAATACTTACATCTTTAAGTAATTCCTCAAACAGTTCATTAACTTCCTTCTCTACAAGGAAACAAATAGCAACTCAAATATCATCAGACCTCTTTAATATTATAATGGACACCAATAGGACAGAACCAAATGTCTGTTTTACAGAGGTGTACATTTTATAGACTGACGCAAATGTAGGGACTGAAAAAGCTACCAAAGAAAGTCATGTCCGATAGCCTGGGGCTAGTAGATTTTGCTATTTGGCTACTGAATTCTATTCTAAACTTGCATGACGGGCAAATGAAGTGTTTGGGGGGAATTTAAATTACAGAAAAATTGCGATCAATTCTGCTCATCAAAAATTTTTTCGGGCTAGTTCAAATGACTCTTGGGCTGGTATGCACAGTGTACCAGTCTTATGCAAGAAAATGGCAGCAAGCTATTTTGTAAACAAATGCTCCATTAACAATATCATGACTGACGAAGAAATAGCCTACTGGCAGTAATCGAAAACAAAAAAAAATGTGCGATTTTATACAACATTACTAAACCTCAGCAATTAACTAATATAAACTAGAGTCCTGGTTCTTTGACAGTCACACATTAGTTACTTACGTGGAATTCTAACAGCTCTGTCATTCCTGTATTCTTCCTTTTCTTCTTTTTGGTCTTCCGCCATGAAATTGTATTCAGTATCCTCCTGATCATCTTCACCACAGACTTCATCTACATGTAAAACAAAAATAAAAATAATTGGATTATTTGACAAGCAATAATGGATTAAAACGTGCTAAACCATACACTACTTTGTGTATGTCTACAAGTACAAAAAAAAATACATATAGTGACAGCTGTTCAATAATCAAAAAGAGAAAAATACTGTATGCCAGCATTGAGATCTTAATAGTAAAAAACTATTAGCACAAAGTTCTAATATCATAGAGATGGACTCTAATGGTGGTAAGTATTAGCAAGGAATTCTTTTCACAATGAAAAAGTCAAAAACTCTGTCAAACATAAGGCACAGGGGCATACAAACTTCTTTATTATATGATCAACTGTTAAGTCTTTCCACATGTAGATGATCGTTGGCATTCTCCAAAAGCAGACAATATGAAGTGAATCTGGTTAACCAATGAGAGAAACTGAAGGGCTCAGTGCATTAGAATGACACCATTTTTGAAAGTGCTTCAAAGTAACTGAATTTTTGCATCAGAATTTTTATTTACATTGTAATAGACAAACATTGTTTACAGTGTGATAGACATACAGTGTAATAGACAAGCATTGTTTATGAACTTTTTGTTTGGCCATACAAGTGACTCTTTTACATTGCATAAATTGACCAGTGGAAGAATTGTTTGGCCAAGAAGGCTGGACATTAGCCTTCTTCAATTTTTGGCAAAAACCCAACTTTGTCTTAAAAAATAACTGCATTTAACATACTGAACTTGCACATCATCAATGATTCTCCTACATGTACATGGTATATACCTGAATTGACTAGTCCCTGAAGCCACTTCTGCCATTCAATGTCTTCAAAGTCCATATCATCCACTGGGATACTATCATACATATCAGCAGTGAAATCTGGAGGCTGGAATGTGGCTAAATAAAACAGAAGGTGTTGGTCAGAATTACTCCTTCAACTCCTTACGAGTAGTAGACTTACACGATAGGAGAGCAGAGGAAAGACAATAATTATTGCAAACCTTGTGTAACAAGCATGTCATGATTAAGTATGTTTGAAAAAATTTTCCGCCAAATCTTACCTTCCTTTAAACAGATTAATTCTTAACAAAAAAGAATCTAAAAGACAAGGCCCCAGTTTTTCAAAAGGAGGATTGCTATCCACCAGATAAATCTCTATCCACTCAATAACAAACTAAGTTAGCATTCCTTATACTTATCCCCTGGATATTAATCTGGCCCTGATTGTTCAAACATTGGATAGCAATATCCACAAGATAAATCGCTCTCCAGGAGATAGGTATTAGGGAAATCAATTGCGCTATCCACTGGATAGAGATTTATCCAATGGATGAATTATCCACCTTTCAAACAACTGGGACCTGGTGGTTAGTGCTTAATCCAGCTCTTCAACAACTGGGGCCTGAACACAGTTATAAGTAAAGATCACAACAAAACACAAATACATTTTGCCATCCTCTTCCTTTTGCCATCCTGTTGTGTATGTCAACTAATGCCTAAAATCAAACTGAAGACAAGTCCAAAATCCAAAGCTCAACCCAACAGAATCTTCAGTGGAAATTAGTTAAAATAAAGAGCCAAGGGAATGGCTAAATATGTTTGCAATAAAGAGGTTTGATTATTATATTGAGGTGCATTGCCATATATTTTTACTATCACTACAATCCTGGACAAAAGTCCTTGGGACAGTAATTCTTGTGTGCTTTCATAAAACAGCGCTACCTTTTGGAAAATACCTCGCCGTTCTCTCTCCCCCCTGCCTTATACAATGCTGAAACATGCTTCAAATACTGTTTGTGGTGTACATGTAAGAGAGGGGTGGGGCAATCCAAATTTAATTACATTGCTGTAATTCACTTACAACAGTAGATTAATACTTTCTGTTATTGGTTGTGTTAACAATACGTACCTTCAATACTTTCAATAGAAACATCTTGGAGAGGCAACTGAGAGCGAGTTCTTTTGGCTATCAAGTCACCTTCTTCCACAACAGTAATCTGCAAGAACAAACTATTCTGTTTTACAACCTTGGCTTTCGCTTTTTCTTGACTTTCACGGCGTTCCTTCTCTCGCTTTTTGTAATTTTTCATCCACTCTGGTTCCAACGATTGTCTGCTTCGCTGTCTCCGAATACGATGTTCTGTATAGTACAAACAAAGTTAGACGATTTATAGAAAATTAAGTAGGCGGCCAATTTCTTCTTTGACCCCCTCGACGACGAAACTACCACGTTTGTTATCGACAACTAAAGTATTTTTCCTTTTTAAAAGAAAAATTAATTAACTCCAATGAAGATCATTGTCGACCTTTGAATTGAAATTTGAAAAATAAATTCTACATTCACTAAATTCAATAGGTCTCAGAGCAAGAGCCATATTTATTTAGTTAATTATCACCTGTAGAAACTTGTACCCTAGTTGGTTCTATCCAAATTTCTTTATATCTGCGATAGTACTTGACAACATTCTCAGGCGCTCGAGCAGATAGCAGATTCTTGCAGCGAATCTGTAGCTGTTTAGGACTTTTCACAGGCAGCAAATGCTCTTGAATTAGTTCCCATTTTTTGCCCAATTGCTTCATTCCCATCGCCAGCAGGTTATCTTCAGCATCCGAGAATTTGACCCGCAGCCCGTTCAACTGCTTGGGCGTGTCGCCTGTCCTGGGAAGAAGATTATGAAAAGGAAGCAACTCCACGAACCGGAACACGTTTGTGTTCGCCGCCATTAACTGGACGTTGGTGTCGGATGGCGACGGAAGCAGCTCTTCTTCTACACGTCTGGAACGCCTCGTTGTTTTGGCAGGAGATTTGTTATCCTTCTTGGGAGTGGCGCATTTTCGTGGGCTCGGTGTTCGTCGTTTAGGTACGAAGGTACTATTAACAATTCTGAAAAGAACCAGAGATTATTTTAAATTCGATCGAGTCCGGTGTCACTGTATTTAGCACGAAAGTACTAATTGGGAACATTTATTTACGTCTCCTACTGTAGACGCGGCCGCCATTTTACACGGTCATTCGGGCCACACAAAGGTCTAGCCGTTTGCAAGGCAAAGGGAAACCTTCACTTCTCAGTGTTATTTCAAGACCCTGAGTATTGTTCTGGCCCCAGGAATCGAACCCGCGATATCCCAAGCGCTCTACCGACTGATCTTATCCTGCCATGATAAAAAAGGGCACGAACAACACTTCACATAAGAGACTTACTCGACAGTATCCTCGAGAGGACGCGCACAAAACGTCACACTTAAGGGACTTACTCGACAGCATCCTCGAGAGGACGCGCACAAAACGCCACACTTAAGGGACTTACTCGACAGTATCCTCGAGAGGACGCGCACAAAACGTCACACTTAAGGGACTTACTCGACAGCATCCTCGAGAGGACGCGCACAAAACTTCACACTTCAGGGACTTACTCGACAGCGTCCTGGAGAGGACGCGCACATTACTTCACATAAGGGTCTTACCCAACAGCGTCCTCGAGAGGACGCGCACAACTCTTCACATAAGGGACTTACTCGACAGCGTCCTCAAGCCCTGGAAAGCTAAATGCTGACGTATGCACCTTTCCGTCACCCAGTCCTCTTATGAGCTGAGCATTACATGCACGGTCTTGGAAACCTTTCAATTCAGTGACATAGTCACGTGTCAGCTTTGCTTCTTTGCTCAGGCTGTCATCCTCTCGCGACATCAAGTATATCTGTGTAAGGAGCTGTGTGTGCTGGAAAGAAAATTCTGATTAGAATTCGGAGTGAAAGGCAAGGTGTCACACGAGCACACAATTTTTATATGATAAATATGTTAACTGGTATAAAGCTACGGATAAACGGGCAACAAAAACGAGCAACTGGCTTTGCAACATTGCTACAAAATGAGTTGAAAAACTAAGTTGCGCGTTTTACCACCCACCAATCAAACCTGCGTTAGAAGAGCACGAAGCGAGAGTCACGCGCGACGAAAGGGGCAAGAAGAAAAACCATCATTAACTGTAAGCGCCATGATTTTCTAACTCGATGAGTTTATTATGTTTTTTCTGGTGTAGGTGCTCCGCTCACCGCGCTTCCTGGAGTGTTAGTTGAATTTTGCGCTTTCTTATAATGTAGGTCTCCATGTGTTTGCGGTCATAAGAAACAGTATGAAGTAGAGCTGGCTTTCTATTGTTGCTGATGTTGTTGTTGTATTAAAACGCCTGATTAACTTCGTTCATGCGCACACCTCTGGGATCTGTTTTCATCTTACCACGATTCTTATTTTGTGATTTCCTCTAGGTCTAATTTGATCCCCGTGTTTGTGTCGTTATGATGACGCATGTGTATGACATGTAACTGGCTATAAGCATCATGAGTTTTGCCACTTTAGAAACGAGAAGGAAGATGGGGAGAGTTAATTTTCACAAAGACGACTGGGACTGTTACTAGGGACTGTTACTGGGGACAAGGGACAGGGAAGAAAAATGCCCCATAGCTGACCGACGCGTCCCCAGTAACGATCTCAGAAACAGATTGCGGGACGCATTTCGGCTCCAGTCTCCATCTTGTTTCTTAAAGGGCGAAGCGTGCTCCGCTCATGCGCAGTGTCTTCATCTACCTGTTGTAGTTGTACATTTAATCTGTCCAACTGCTGCTGCGAGAACAACTGAACATTATCCTGACCACTGGTCCTAAAGAAAAAAGATTGCACACAAACAGTCAAAATGAAGATTTATTGTATGGACAGGGACAAACAAAACACATGATATAGACCAAGGGTTTTTTATTCTAACATCGACGGACGTAAATTGCAAAGGTAAAGAAGTCTGCAACAATCATGAGAATAAAAATCAAGGCTATAGTGCTCAGGAAGGACTTCTTGAACCACGTTTTACACTGCATATGGATAGAACAATAATCATTTATCTTAATCAATTTAATTTTATAGAAAAATTTAAGAATAAAAATAAACGAAAGTGAAACGTGTGATTTCGAAAATATTTATTCTTAAATATTTTACTTCATTAATTTTTTTTTATTGACTTGATAGCTTGACAGAACAGTGAAACAGTACATCTTCGATGTGTCTCTGTTTAATGTTTTGTAATACTTTATGCATTGTTTATACATCAATTGTATTAAAACAGAATGGGAAAAATAACAAAATACAAAAATACCAATGTAAAACTGTACACAAAAATTGAAACATGATTAAGACTGGAACCAAAAGAATACACCAACCCGCTACTTAGCATCTCCAGATACCCTACTGGTTCCCCTTCGTCAGTCACACAATAGCCATCCTCGTTGTCATCAAACTGTGTAATCACAATTCAGTAAGGATTATGAAATAATTCAGTATTGCACAGTGTGTGATAAACAGTAACATCGTTTTTAAATCCTTCATAAAAAAGACAAATAATTGTTGTCCTAGTTTATACAAATACAACATGTACCGGTAATACTTACATCTTTCAGTAATTCCTCAAACAGTTCATTAACTTCCTTCTCTACAAAGAAACAAATAGCAAATCAAATATCGTCAGACCTCTTTAATATTATCATGGACACCAATAGGACAGAACCAAATGTCTCTTCTACAGAGGCGTACATTTTATAAATTGACACAAATGTAGGGACTGAAAAAGCGTCCAAAGAAAGTCATGTCCGATAGCCTGGGGCTAGTAGATTTTGCTATTGGGCTAGTGAATTCTATTCTAAACTTGCATGATGGGCAAGTGAAGTGTTTGGGGCAGATTTACATTGTAAATTACAGAAAAACTGCGATCAATTCTACACATCAATACTTTTTTCGGGCTAGTTCAAATGACTCTTGTGCTGGTAAGTATCAGTCTTATGCAAGAAAATGGCAGCAAGCTATTTTGTAAATAAATGTCATGCCTGACGGAGAAAAAGCCTACTGGCAGTAATCGAGGACAAAAAAAATTGTGCGATTTTATATAACATTACTAAACCTCAACTATTAACTAAACTAGAGTCCTGAATCTTTGACAGTCACACATTAGTTACTTACGTGGAATTCTAACAGCTCTGTCGTTCCTGTATTCTTCCTTTTCTTCTTTTTGGTCTTCAGCCATGAAATTGTATTCAGTATCCTCCTGATCATCTTCACCACAGACTTCATCTACATGTAAAACAAAAATAAAAATTACTGGATTATTCAACAAGCAATAATGGATTAAAATGTGCTAAACCATACACTACTTTGTGTATGTCTACAAGTACAAAAAAATACATGTAGTCACAGCTGTTCAATAATCAAAAAGAGAAAAATACTGTATGCCAGCATTGAGATCTTAACAATGAAAAACTATTAGCACAAAGTTCTAATATCATAGAGATCAACTCTAATGGTGATGAGCATTAGCAAGCAATGAAAAAGTCAAAAACTCTGTCAAACGTAAAGCACGGGGCATACAAACTTAGTTATTATATGATCAACTGTTAAGTCTTTCCACATGTAGATGGTCGTTGGCATTCTCCAAAAGCAGGCGATATGAAGTGAATTTGGTTAACCAATGAAAGAAATTGAAGGGCTCAGTGCAAGAATGACACCTTGGTTATTTGGTCATTTTTGAAAGTGCTTCAAAGTAACTGAATTTTTGCATCAGACTTTTGATTTACCGTGTAATAGACATACAGTGTAATAGACAAACATTGTTATGAACTTTCTGCTTGGCCATACAAGTGATTCTTTCACATTCTATGAATTGACCACTGGAGGAATTGTTTGGCCAAGAAGGCTGGACATTAGCCTTCTTCAATTTTTGGCAAAAACCCAACTTTGTCTTTAAAAAATAAATGCATTTAACATACTGAACTTGCACATCATCAATGATTCTCCTACATGTACATGGTATATACCTGAGTTGACTAGTCCCTGAAGCCACTTCTGCCATTCAATGTCTTCAAAGTCCATATCATCCACTGGGATACTATCATACATATCAGCAGTGAAATCTGGAGGCTGGAATGTGGCTAAATAAAACAGAAGGTGTTGGTCAGAATTACTCCTTGAACTCCTTCAGAGTAGTAGACTTACACAATAGGAAAGTAGAGGAAAGACAATCGCAAACCTTGTGTAACAAGCGTNGCCACTTCTGCCATTCAATGTCTTCAAAGTCCATATCATCCACTGGGATACTATCATACATATCAGCAGTGAAATCTGGAGGCTGGAATGTGGCTAAATAAAACAGAAGGTGTTGGTCAGAATTACTCCTTGAACTCCTTCAGAGTAGTAGACTTACACAATAGGAAAGTAGAGGAAAGACAATCGCAAACCTTGTGTAACAAGCGTGTCATGATTAAGTATGTTTGAAAAAATTTTCCACCAAACCTTACCTTCCTTTAAACAGATGAATTCTTAATAAAAGACAAGGCCCCAGTTTTTCAAAAGGGCAATCGCTATCCACCAGTTAAATCTCTATCCACTCAATAACAAACTAAGTTAGTATTCCTTATACTTATCCCCTGGATATTAATCTGGCCCTGATTGTTCAAACATTGGATAGCAATATCCACAGGATAAATCGCTCTCCAGGAGATAGGTATTAGGGAAATCAATTGCGTAATCCACTGGATAGAGATTTATCCAATGGATAGTATTATCCACCTTTCGAACAACTGGGACCTGGTGGTTAGTGCTTAATCCAGCTCTTCAACAGCTGGGGCCTGAACACAGTTATAAGTAAAGATCACAACAAAACACAAATACATTTTGCCATCCTCTTCCTTTTGCCATCCTGTTGTGTATTTCAACTAATGCCTAAAATCAAACTGAAGACAAGTCCAAAATCCAAAGCTCAACCCAACAGAATCTTCAGTGGAAATTAATTAAAACAAAGAGCCAAGGGAATGGCTAAATATGTTTGCAATAAAGAGGTTTCATTATTATATTGAGGTGCTTTGCCATATATTTTTACTATTACTACAATCCTGGACAAAAGTCCTTGGGACAGTAATTCTTGTGTGCTTTCATAAAAGAGCGCTACCTTTTGGAAAATACCTCGCAGTTCTCTCTCCCCCCTGCCTTATACAATGCTGAAACATGCTTCAATTACTGTTTGTGGTGTACATGTAAGAGAGGGGTGGGGCAATCCAAATTTAATTACATTGCTGTAATTCACTAACAACAGTAGATTAATACTTTCTGTTCTTGGTTGTGTTAACAATACGTACCTTCAATACTTTCAATAGAAACATCTTGGAGAGGCAACTGAGAGCGAGTTCTTTTGGCTATCAAGTCACCTTCTTCCACAACAGTAATCTGCAAGAACAAACTCACAATATACTGTACCACCCAAAAAAGATTCAACATTATGTAAATGGACAGACTGTAATAAGAGTACCATTCATGATTCACAAAAAATTTATATTAACCATCAAAACCTTACTGAATAGGGTTGAGAAGTTACAGTACACTTCTTCATGAAATTCTTAGACAAAGTCTGTTCAGATATTAAAAACTCAAAAGACACTTCACTTTTAAACCTTCTGCACAGCTTCCTTGGTAGTCATTTAAATGTCACATCATGGAATTGAAGAAAAGAAATTCAAGCTTACTATACATGTCTCAGAAACAAAGAGCCCTTTCAAACTTAAAATTTGTAAACGTTTTAAAAATAAATTTAGGTGTTTAGCTGCTCTTATACCTCTTGAAAGCAAAAACTCAGAAAAAATTGCTAATTCTTTAAATAAAAACATCATGAACAAAGCAGCAATAGATTTTTTTTTTAACATTGTAACATTCTAGGAAACTGGGAAACTTCCCACCTACCCCTACCCCAATCTCAGGTAAACACTATTAACTGCATTCCTAGAGCAAAATGTATTTGTGTTTTGTTGTGATCTGTACTTATAACTGTGCTGAGACCTCAGTTGTTGAAGAGCTGGATTAAGCACTATCCACCAGGGCCCAGTTGTTTGAAAGGTGGATAATGATTGAATAAATCTCTATCCAGTGGATAACGCAATTGATTTCCCTAATACCTATCTCCTGGAGAGCGATTTATCTTGTGGATATTGCTATCCGATGTTTGAACAATCAGGACCAGATTAATATCCAGGGGATAAGTATAAGGAATACTAACTTAGTTTGTTATTGAGTGGATAGAGATTTTACTGGTGGATAGTGATCATCCTTTTGAAAAACTGAACAAAGCAGCAATAGATTTTTTTTTAACATTGTAACATTCTAGGAAACTGGGAAACTTCCCACCTACCCCTCCCCTAATCTCAGGTAAACACTATTAACTGCATTCCTAGGGCAAAATGTTGGGTTAGGGGAGGGGTAGGTGGGTGGGCAGTTTCCCAGAATCTTACATGCAGGCTAAAGTGTAATCCAATATTAAGAAAACACTGATTGAAATAGATTCTGGCACTAGAATTTTTACATTACATAGCCACTATAAACAGAACTTTGACAGTCACACGTACTGTACAGGTACATGTACGTACCTCTTCTAATTCAAAAGGTGCTGATGCAGTTAACGTTACTGGATAAGGTACTTTAAATGGCTCCTGCAAAAGCCTCTTGCTACATGATCTAGTCACTAAAAGAATTCAATCAAAACACATAAAATAATTTGTTATGGCAAAGGTAAAATAACTGTAATTTAACATTTTTGAGAAAGTCAGTAAGTCAGTTTCCAAACATTGTTTTTTTCTGTCATCTCATTCTTTAGCTTGCAACTGCACACAAAGCATTAATAGGCTGGATTGAGGAACAGACATTAAAATAATGTTGGATCACTAGAGAAAAAACAACATCTTAATTTTTTGGAGGCATGCAAGACCCACACTGTACGTGAAAGCTTAATACCTAAGCTCTCAGACACAATCTACAATACATTAATAATACATTTCCCAACCAGTTCAATTATAAATGCAATGTTTGAAAAGGGTAGCAGTGAAAGGTCTCCGGTGGCAAGAGTCCCTTAGCAGGGATGAGCATAAATTATTTATATACACATAATGCATAATGTTAGAACTACCATGTTACATGATTGCATTACATGTACATGCATTGAATATTAGTATACATTGTATACTTTTTTTTTGAAAGATTAACTGTACAATCATGGGCATAATATATGTACACATGTGTATGTACCTGTTGGTGATTTAGTTGATTCAGTTGGCTCTCCAGACTCTGTAGTCTCTGTTTTATGACTTTCCGGTGTACCAGGCATATGTGCTGGAGATGCCAGGTCACTGCAATAAAAAAGGAACATTCATTCAGAAAAGGAAATTTTGATTTAAAAAAATGGTTTTATAGTATGTAACATTGCATTCTATGACATTAATTTTCAGTTTTAGTACTTTCTTAAGTCTTTTCCAATATTAAATTTTTCAGCTGGATGCTGGGAGAGAATTTTGTACATGATCATTTACTCTAGAGTTAACCAAAATATTTAAAACCACATCAAATTGTTAAGTTTAAAGTACAAGCCCTAAAAATAATATCCCTAAGTTTTTCCACATCATTAACAGAAAATTGTATTTAACAACTGCATCGCTAAAATGGAGGTTGGGTGCCTGGCGTATCCATAGATTGAAATAATGCCCCCATGACTGGCGCAACAGCGCAACCCAGTCATGAGCCCCCACACCAGAGGAAAGGAACAGGCACCCGTCACACTGAAAAAACACCAGTGGAAAAAAACCCAACAAGCCTTGGGGGAGGGCGGGAGAGGAAGAAAATGGCAGACAGAACCCAGCACAAAGGGAAAACTGAATGCGCCAAGGAATCACATGATCGATGTAGCCAGCCACCGGGCATGCGCATGCCAAAGACCGCTGACCTAGGCACCCAGGCGCTCTTAGTTGTTAACTCCTTCAAATTGCATTTAAATGCATTAAATATGAAAAACTCAAACCCAAAAATGGCAAAAAGTACTTGGACAAGTACAGACTGTACTTTCAGTTTTTGATTGAACAAACCAAAACATCAGTTAAACCTTGAAAATGATAGAAAACTTTCTGCATCATCATCACTTGCATCCTGAAAAAGAGGACATGTGACACAGTTAAACCAACTTTTTATGGGCTGTAAGTTTCAAAGTGCTCGGGAAATTATAAGGATTTGGACAAAACGCGCATGAAATTATTCCCTAATTTCACTCGTCACCATTTGATTACACATACTTATTATTACTTCAATTGTAAATTATCTCAGAATAGCCCCTTCAGGAGAGATAACAATTAAGTACTTGTATTGTATAATATAAGGATTATTAATGCTGGAAATTTCGTGCTAAAATTAAGAAGTAATTTGATACTCACGATATTAGGGACATGAAAATATTAGAGTGTGTAAGGCCTGTGCTTGCCTAATGTCATTGTGGGTGAAAGCCAGCATGATACAGCTGTGCACAAGGCACTTCTGGAAAATGATAGACCAAACGGTCTATTAGGATCTGTCTGGTTCAGACTTACCTCATCATCTGGATTGTATTCTTCATCAGAGGATGATTCTGGGAGCTCCAACTCTGTAAAGTGAATCTTCTATGAGGCAACAATATACCAGTCACAGTGAGATTTGTTTGAGTCATGTAAAAACCAAAACTTTTTTATTATAAGTTTTATAACCAACAGACAAGGGGATCATCTGAAGCAGTTTTTGCTTTATAAAGTTGCAAATTGCACTTTGACATGCAGTTCAGAGCTTTAAAGCATGAATGCAGGTGACCAATTATTATTTATTCTTTTAAAAAGCACCAACTCAAGAAGTAGAGTATTATTTAATAAATACAAATGTAGTCTACTCCTTGAATTACTGCATGGAGAATCTGAAAGGTGGTCAAAATTCAACAACAATGTCAAAGTAATTCTGAGATGACACTTTACACCAACTCTTAACACAGTCCTTTAAGCCAAAATTGATGTACCAATATTGAGAAGAAATACAAAATTTTCTTGAGGATGATCATGACTACTTCCAACCATGAATCTCAATACACTGTCCCTTATGCAGTTCTAATAACAAGTCTTAAACACCAACATTTCATACCTTATTTTTTGAAGTTTGCTTGGCTTTCAAGTCTTTTATCGGCGACTGGGATGCCTGAAAAAATAAACAATACTAAATACTGATGGTATAAGCTTGCTTCAAAGGGAAAAATACGGTCAAACTGAAGACAAATAAAATCTTGACTGAATAATATTATGTACATGTAAGTTGTACAGTAGATTATTTTCTTACCAAAGCAGCAATAGGATCTCCTTGATTTGTCTGCTTGCTCTTGGCTCTGGTCATTTTTGGTGCCTTGTAAATAAAGATATCACATACAGGTAAATTTCATAGAAAAGCTATATAACAAGTTTTCTACAGGGAGTATACGTTGTTAAGGTCTCAATGAACCACACACAATTCACCATCCCATACACTTCTGAAAATTCCTACTTCAAGATACATGTACATAATAAGGACTATGTACTTTTGCATAGAACTATTTTTTCCTATAAACCTTGAATTCAAGCTTTTGAGAGATAAAGGCCTGTTTGAATGACTGATAACCACCCATTATAGAGGTCAAAGAACCGGAGGGCTTAACACTTACATGTAAACTACCATTTCTCAAAATGATAACAATGAATCAAGCAAAATGCACTTTTTTTGACACGTACACTGTATATTTATAATAAAAACCTACACAACACAGGCAACAACACAGGTACAACTGTACACAACACAAAGGTCACTGAGATAGAAAGATGTGCTGCACAAAGTATGTTAGATTAATATAACCTAAAGAGAACATTTCTAAAATAATTCAATTTTTGGCCTATATATGTTTTCTCAATTCTTTTGTAAAATAATGATTATTAAATGAACAGACTGTACATGCAATATGTACTTGTACAGTGTAACCTTTAGAACTAAGGGGTTTCAGTTTTTTATTGATACTCCTATAATAATTACACTGACCAGAGAGTAACATAGGAATAAATAATAACACAAAAGAGAAGAAAAGATAGAATTAACTGGCTTGGAGAGAAGTGTACAGTTGTCAGAAGAGCATGGCTTTCGAACTGACCACTGCTTCACATACTGCCTACATGTAAGTATATCATCAATAAATAGTTTATCAGCAGGTCCACATCAGCTTTAGCTGCCTTTTAACTTAACCTGCTTTACCAAATAAACTATGAATGAATGAATGAATGAATGAATGAAAAAAAAAGTACATCTTAACTTCTAAGTAACCACTCCCAAAATGTTTAGAACACTTAAAACAAAATAAAAAAAATGGTAAAAAAAAAAACATGGCAGCTTCACAAGGGCGATGTATACTGTAACTCTTTTGTTAATTTTGTTAAATAATTTACGACAATTTAACCAAATTCTTGACAAAAAATGTACAGTGCACACGTACAATATAATAATGTCCCTTGTGAAGCTGCCATGTATTACCACATTATTTTCACTGCTCTCTGAATGTTACATGTACAGTTTTGTACATGTACAATAGTTGTTGCCCATCTGTCACACTACAGTTGTACCTGGATTTTGGTTTTATTTCCAATGAAATAACAGTAACTTACAAAGTCTAGTCCAACATCTTGATCAACACCAGCAGTATCATCACCTTGCTCATCATCAGCTTCAGCAACTGCACTCTTCACCATGGCAAGGACCCTCTTATCAGTTACAACATGCTATAGCAGACAAAGAGGAAAGAATTCATTAAAAATACATAAACAATAAATTGTCCGGGAAAGGTTTAAACACAACAGTCATTTCATAAGAGGATTGAGTAGGATCATCCGTGGGTGAACATAGTCCTGAATAGGACTGTTGTTGTTGACAGTGATTGACATTTCGACAACCTGTGTAGTAGTCATCTTCAGAGTCAAAGTGAGTTGTATCATGTCAGTTGATGGTATTAAACTCTGGTGGTTCACCTGAAAGGTCAATTAAATCGTGATGTTATTAGTAGCCTGCCATTTAAGCTATGTGTTATTCGCTATGAAGACTCGTAATGTCAGCCCTCACAGGTTTCTCTTTTACATCTGTCTTTATTCTAACATTGAATTAGCATTGAATTATTCACGATATGTCCTTAGTTGTTGTTTAAAAATTACAATGCGTTATTACTAAACTTGGATACAATTTCACTACAAATTTACATGTAGTGTAATTGGAGACCTTAAAAGACAACCTTTCCTTGGCAGGTAAAACTAAAACCCGGGAACTAAAATTAGTTCTTGCAGTAACCCCTGGTTATTTGCTTAAAATAGATGGACGACATGACTGAGTGACGCTGCAAGCTAAAAGAAATTTCAATTATTGCCAAAATAAACAAAATACATGTAGAAGGGACCGGTCACCAAAACAGAGATGTAAATAACAGCGTCACATTACAGAGTAGTTGGTCCATCAAAATACATGTAGTTGCGAGTTGATAGCTGGAACTGGTTTTAATTGAATCCTTTTTATAATCTCTGCGAAGCCTACAAATGAAGATTCAAGTGAAGAATGTGTAAAAAAAACTTGGATCACTTTTAGCCCAGATAACATAAGAATAATACTAACATTTGAATGTGCCTCGAAAGTTTGATTCACTTTATGCTATTAAAACAAAGCCACCCGCACAAGTACAACTACACTCACTAAGCTAGCGATGTAAGAACTCGAGTAAACCGAATACATGCAAATTACAATAATCTGAGAGTAAAGTTTTACATGCAGATTTTCCTAATTTGCATGTATTTTCTCGTGTATTTTTGAGTGTATTTCTTTACACGGGTGTTTCACACATGTTTTTCTCATGGAATTTGCGTGCAATATGGTGGATTTCCACGCATGAAACCCATGTGTAATGCTGCAATGCCCAGGACCTGTACTGTAGACTCTGAAGATGACTACTGCACTTGTAAGTTATCGAAAATGCCCTGGTCACTGTCAGAAACAGAGGACTACACTCACCTGATGATCATATTTCACCTACTTTGAGTTGAGTACATTACCGTAAACCTAAGGCTACCATAATAAGCATAAATGTACCAGCAGTTCACACATGATCACACGGCAACAAAAAAAACATACACACGAAAAGACGAAAGGCTTGAAAAACTTCTCGGCCAAGAGGGGATTGCCCGCTGGAAAAAAAGCCGTCGTTAAACTGTTCAACCAAATGTTCCAACTTAGGTTACGCCATTCAAAGTACTAGTACAAGTAGCTACATGATCAACGACACACGTGTACACAACAAATTAATAATCAGAGCTTACATGTAGAATGCTTCTGACATTAATTGCCGTTAAGTTGTTCCTTGCTGCATTCTCCTCCAAAATTTCATCAATATCATCAATTTCTGGTTCTTTTTCACAAGGCTTTTCAGAACCATAACCTTCTCCTCCCAGTTCAACATCGCTTTGTTTGACTCCACCGTCGTCATTTGATTTTGCTTTCTTCGCGTTGCGTTCTTCATCCTTTTTCTTATCTCTCTTTCGCTTTTTACCATTGGTAGCCTTAGGCATCTTTTAATCTACTGAATCCAACGAGTACGCTTAAAAATCAGTGATTTGTTTTCTGCGTTATTTACAGTGAAGCGATCCCTTTGCGCCATTTTTCACAACATTAACCATGATGCCCTGCGAGCAACCGGCACATGCACAAAATACTCCCTTGGGGGATGCGCACGGGCAGTCTTTTACTCTTCATGCAGGAAGTGACTCAAAGTATTGACTATCCAACGCAAGCAAAGAAATACTTTCGTTATTATCATGCCTTCCCCGAAACTTGTGCTTTTTACTTGCCTATTTATATTTTCGAAACAGAAACTTAAAGTATAGTGTGTGTAAACTTATGTCTTATTTTATAAATAATTCGACGTTTGGTCTTGAAATTGGAAAATTAAAAAAAATTCACTGCTGTACCTGACAAAGCTATTTACGGTACTGAAAAATTATTTTAAAAAATACTGCCAAAAAATTTCTAGATATAGCGCCGACTTTGCGCAGCGTGGATACTGGTACCAAATCGTGACGTCACCCCGAAACCCAGTGAACACAAAGTGAACACAAACATGGCGGAATTTTCGGTAGGTGGAGCACGGATCCGTGATTATGCTTGAAAGTCAAATGAAATTACGTCGATTTAACCTTACTGAATAGGGTTGAGAAGTTACAGTACACTTCTTCATGAAATTCTTAGACAAAGTCTGTTCAGATATTAAAAACTCAAAAGACACTTCACTTTTAAACCTTCTGCACAGCTTCCTTGGTAGTCATTTAAATGTCACATCATGGAATTGAAGAAAAGAAATTCAAGCTTACTATACATGTCTCAGAAACAAAGAGCCCTTTCAAACTTAAAATTTGTAAACGTTTTAAAAATAAATTTAGGTGTTTAGCTGCTCTTATACCTCTTGAAAGCAAAAACTCAGAAAAAATTGCTAATTCTTTAAATAAAAACATCATGAACAAAGCAGCAATAGATTTTTTTTTTAACATTGTAACATTCTAGGAAACTGGGAAACTTCCCACCTACCCCTACCCCAATCTCAGGTAAACACTATTAACTGCATTCCTAGAGCAAAATGTATTTGTGTTTTGTTGTGATCTGTACTTATAACTGTGCTGAGACCTCAGTTGTTGAAGAGCTGGATTAAGCACTATCCACCAGGGCCCAGTTGTTTGAAAGGTGGATAATGATTGAATAAATCTCTATCCAGTGGATAACGCAATTGATTTCCCTAATACCTATCTCCTGGAGAGCGATTTATCTTGTGGATATTGCTATCCGATGTTTGAACAATCAGGACCAGATTAATATCCAGGGGATAAGTATAAGGAATACTAACTTAGTTTGTTATTGAGTGGATAGAGATTTTACTGGTGGATAGTGATCATCCTTTTGAAAAACTGAACAAAGCAGCAATAGATTTTTTTTTAACATTGTAACATTCTAGGAAACTGGGAAACTTCCCACCTACCCCTCCCCTAATCTCAGGTAAACACTATTAACTGCATTCCTAGGGCAAAATGTTGGGTTAGGGGAGGGGTAGGTGGGTGGGCAGTTTCCCAGAATCTTACATGCAGGCTAAAGTGTAATCCAATATTAAGAAAACACTGATTGAAATAGATTCTGGCACTAGAATTTTTACATTACATAGCCACTATAAACAGAACTTTGACAGTCACACGTACTGTACAGGTACATGTACGTACCTCTTCTAATTCAAAAGGTGCTGATGCAGTTAACGTTACTGGATAAGGTACTTTAAATGGCTCCTGCAAAAGCCTCTTGCTACATGATCTAGTCACTAAAAGAATTCAATCAAAACACATAAAATAATTTGTTATGGCAAAGGTAAAATAACTGTAATTTAACATTTTTGAGAAAGTCAGTAAGTCAGTTTCCAAACATTGTTTTTTTCTGTCATCTCATTCTTTAGCTTGCAACTGCACACAAAGCATTAATAGGCTGGATTGAGGAACAGACATTAAAATAATGTTGGATCACTAGAGAAAAAACAACATCTTAATTTTTTGGAGGCATGCAAGACCCACACTGTACGTGAAAGCTTAATACCTAAGCTCTCAGACACAATCTACAATACATTAATAATACATTTCCCAACCAGTTCAATTATAAATGCAATGTTTGAAAAGGGTAGCAGTGAAAGGTCTCCGGTGGCAAGAGTCCCTTAGCAGGGATGAGCATAAATTATTTATATACACATAATGCATAATGTTAGAACTACCATGTTACATGATTGCATTACATGTACATGCATTGAATATTAGTATACATTGTATACTTTTTTTTTGAAAGATTAACTGTACAATCATGGGCATAATATATGTACACATGTGTATGTACCTGTTGGTGATTTAGTTGATTCAGTTGGCTCTCCAGACTCTGTAGTCTCTGTTTTATGACTTTCCGGTGTACCAGGCATATGTGCTGGAGATGCCAGGTCACTACAATAAAAAAAGAACATTCATTCAGAAAAGGAAATTTTGATTTTAAAAAAATGGTTTTATAGTATGTAACATTGCATTCAATGACATTAATTTTCAATTTTAGTACTTTCTTAAGTCTTTTCCAATATTAAAGTTTTCAGCTGGATGCTGGAAGAGAATTTTGTACATGATTATTTACTCTAGAGTTAACTCAAAATTCCAACCAAAATATTTAAAACCACATCAAATTGTTAATTTTAAAGTAAAAGCCCTAAAAATAATATCCCTAAGTTTTTCCACATCATTAACAGAAAATTGTATTAAAATATGAAAAACTCAAACCCAAAAATGGCAAAAAGTACTTGGACAAGTACAGATTGTACTTTCAGTTCTTGATTGAACAAAACAAAAAAATCAGTTAAACCTTGAAAATGATAGAAAACTTTCTGTATCATCATCACTTGCATCCTGAAAAAGAGACATGTGACACAGTTAAAACAACTTTTTATGGGCTGTAAGTTTCAGAGTGCTTCACAAAGGTTTTAGCATAAAATAATGTAGTTTACAGCTGTATGCACNAATATATGTACACATGTGTATGTACCTGTTGGTGATTTAGTTGATTCAGTTGGCTCTCCAGACTCTGTAGTCTCTGTTTTATGACTTTCCGGTGTACCAGGCATATGTGCTGGAGATGCCAGGTCACTACAATAAAAAAAGAACATTCATTCAGAAAAGGAAATTTTGATTTTAAAAAAATGGTTTTATAGTATGTAACATTGCATTCAATGACATTAATTTTCAATTTTAGTACTTTCTTAAGTCTTTTCCAATATTAAAGTTTTCAGCTGGATGCTGGAAGAGAATTTTGTACATGATTATTTACTCTAGAGTTAACTCAAAATTCCAACCAAAATATTTAAAACCACATCAAATTGTTAATTTTAAAGTAAAAGCCCTAAAAATAATATCCCTAAGTTTTTCCACATCATTAACAGAAAATTGTATTAAAATATGAAAAACTCAAACCCAAAAATGGCAAAAAGTACTTGGACAAGTACAGATTGTACTTTCAGTTCTTGATTGAACAAAACAAAAAAATCAGTTAAACCTTGAAAATGATAGAAAACTTTCTGTATCATCATCACTTGCATCCTGAAAAAGAGACATGTGACACAGTTAAAACAACTTTTTATGGGCTGTAAGTTTCAGAGTGCTTCACAAAGGTTTTAGCATAAAATAATGTAGTTTACAGCTGTATGCACAGATGCACCTCATTCAAAAGACCTGACTATAATGTCAAATTAAACCTCACAACACCATAATAGAATTCCACATCACAGATTTCTATTCTTGAATTCTAACAGGATTGCATTAACTACCCCAGAACTGTAAATAATAATATACTTTGTCAAGGCCACATGCTTACCTCAAAAATTCTACATACATTGTACATGCAAAATTATGGAGATGGTAGTACATTTTTATGTGTAATCAAAATATTAATGGTCAGGACTGAAATTAGGCAGGAATGATTTCTTGGCGTTTTGTCTGAAAGGATTTGAACAAAACAAAAGTGAAATTTAACATTACCTAATTTCACAAGTAAACAATTTGATTACCTACAAGTATTAATATCATGGATGACAAATTACGGTCACAATCATAGATTTTTTAAACGTTTATCATATTGATTATCGATCAAGAACTCTATGCAGTGAGAACTTTACAGCTTAAATTTTGGCTTAAGTTCAGAATTTTCAGAATTTTCAGAATTTTTCGACAAAATACCTGATAGAATCATTCTGGATGTGCTCTATCGTGTGTTAAGGGTTTTCTAAAGCGCAAAACCTAAGTAATATAAATTACTTAGGTTTTATAAAAGCACCCTAAAAAAATCTCCTGAAGGGGCTGTTCTGAAAATAATAATAATTTACAAAGGAATAATAATTCTTTTATTCCTTCAATTGTAATTTATTATCTCAGAATAGCCCCTTCAGGAGAGATAATAATTAAGTTCTTTTATGGTATAATATAAGGATTATTAATGCTGGAAATTTCATGCTAAAATTAAGGAGTAATTTGTAACTCATGATATTAGGGACATAAAAATTTTAGAGTGTGTAAGGCCTGTGTTTGCCTAATGTCATTGTGGGTGAAAGCCAGCATGATACAGCTGTGTACAAGGCACTTCCGGAAAATGATAGACCAAACGGTCTAAATCCTAGACAGACCAAGTGACTTACCTCATCATCTGGATTGTATTCTTCATCAGAGGATGATTCTGGGAGCTCCAACTCCGTAAAGTGAATCTTCTACGAGGCAACAATATACCAGTCACAGTGAGATTTGTTTGAGTCATGTAAAAACCAAAATTTTTTATTATAAGTTTTATAAGCAGCGGACAAGGGGATCATCTGAAGCAGTTTTTGCTCTATAAAGCTGCAAATTGCACTTTGACATGCAGTTCAGAGCTTTAAAGCATGAATGCAGGTGACCAATTATTATTTATTCTTTTAAAAAGTACTAACTCAAGAAGTAGAGTATTATTTAATAAATACAAATGTAGTCTACTCCTTGAATTACTGCATGGAGAATTTGAAAGGTGGTCAAAATTCAACAACAATGTCAAAGTAATTCTGAGATGACACTTTACACCAACTCTTTACACAGTCCTTTAAGCCAAAATTGATGTACCAATATTGAGAAGGAACACAAAATTTTCTTGAGGATGATCATGACTACTTGCAACCATGAACCTCAATACACTGTCCCTTATGCAGTTCTAATGACAAGTCTTAAACACTAACATTTCATACCTTATTTTTTGAAGTTTGCTTGGCTTTCAAGTCTTTTATCGGCGACTGGGATGCCTGAAAAAATAAACAATACTAAATACTGATGGTATAAGCTCGCTTCAAAGGGAAAAATACGGTCAAACTGAAGACAAATACAATCTTGACTGAATAATATTATGTACATGTAAATTGTACAGTATATTATTTTCTTACCAGAGCAGCAATAGGATCTCCTTGATTTGTCTGCTTGCTCTTGGCTCTGGTCATTTTTGGTGCCTTGTAAATAAAGATATCACATACAGGTGTATTTCATAGAAAAGCTATATAACAAGTTTTCTACCGGGAGTACACAATTCACCACCCCATACACTTCTGAAAATTCCTACTTCAAGATACATGTACATAATAAGGACAATGTACTTTTGCATAGAACTATTTTTCCTATAAACCTTGAATTCAGGCTTTTGAGAGATAAAGGCCTGTTTGAATGACTGATAACCACCCATTATGGAGGTCAAAGAACCGGAGGGCTTAACACTTACATGTAAACTACCATTTCTCAAAATGATAACAATGAATCAAGCAAAATGCACTTTTTTTGACACATACACTGTATATTTATAATAAAAACCTACACAATACAGGCAACAACAAAGGTACAACTGTACACAACACAANTCATACCTTATTTTTTGAAGTTTGCTTGGCTTTCAAGTCTTTTATCGGCGACTGGGATGCCTGAAAAAATAAACAATACTAAATACTGATGGTATAAGCTCGCTTCAAAGGGAAAAATACGGTCAAACTGAAGACAAATACAATCTTGACTGAATAATATTATGTACATGTAAATTGTACAGTATATTATTTTCTTACCAGAGCAGCAATAGGATCTCCTTGATTTGTCTGCTTGCTCTTGGCTCTGGTCATTTTTGGTGCCTTGTAAATAAAGATATCACATACAGGTGTATTTCATAGAAAAGCTATATAACAAGTTTTCTACCGGGAGTACACAATTCACCACCCCATACACTTCTGAAAATTCCTACTTCAAGATACATGTACATAATAAGGACAATGTACTTTTGCATAGAACTATTTTTCCTATAAACCTTGAATTCAGGCTTTTGAGAGATAAAGGCCTGTTTGAATGACTGATAACCACCCATTATGGAGGTCAAAGAACCGGAGGGCTTAACACTTACATGTAAACTACCATTTCTCAAAATGATAACAATGAATCAAGCAAAATGCACTTTTTTTGACACATACACTGTATATTTATAATAAAAACCTACACAATACAGGCAACAACAAAGGTACAACTGTACACAACACAAAGGTCACTGAGATAGAAAGATGTGCTGCACAAAGTATGTTAGATTATAACCTAAAGAGAACATTTCTAAAATAATTCAATTTTTGGCCTATATATGTTTTCTCAATTTTTTTGTAAAATAATGATTATTACATGAACAATGCAATAGGTACTTGTACAGTGTAACCTTAAGAACTAAGGGGTTTCAGTTTTTTATTGATACTACTATAATAATTACACTGACCAGAGAGTAACGTAGGAATAAATAATAACACAAAAGAGACGAAAAGATAGAATTAACTGGCTTGGAGAGAAGTGTACAGTGGTCAGAAGAGCATGGCTTTCGAACTGACCACTGCTTCACATACTGCTTACATGTAAGTATATCATCAATAGATAGTTTATCAGCAGGTCTACATCAGCTTTAGCTGCCTTTTAACTTAACCTACTTTACCAAATAAACTATGAATGAATGAATGAAAAAAAAAGTACAGCTTAACTTCTAAGTAACCAATCCCAAAATGTTTAGAACACAGAACAAAATAAAAAAAATGGTAAAAAAAACATGGCAGCTTCACTAGGGCGATGTATACTGTAACTCTTTTCTTAATTTTGTTAAATAATTTACGACAATTTAACCAAATTCTTAACAAAAAATGTACAGTGCACACGTACAATATAATAATGTCCCTTGTAAAGCTGCCATGTATTACCACATTACTTTCACTGCTCTCTGAATGCTACATGCACAGTTTTGTACATGTACAATTGTTGTTGCCCATCAGTTAAAATAACAGTTGCACCTGGATTTTGGTTTTATAATAAAATAACAGTAACTTACAAAGTCTAGTCCAACATCCTGATCAACACCAGCAGTATCATCACCTTGCTCATCATCAGCTTCAGCAGCTGCACTCTTCACCATGGCAAGGACCCTCTTGTCAGTTACAACATGCTATAGCAGACAAAGAGGAAAGAATTCATTAAAAATACATAAACAATAAATTGTCCGGGAAAGGTTTTAAACACAACAGTCATTTCATAAGAGGATTGAGTAGGATCGTCCACGGGTGAACATAGTCCTTAATAGGACTGTTGTTGTTGACAGTGATTGACATTTCGACAACCTGTGTAGTAGTCATCTTCAGAGTCAAAGTGAGTTGTATCATGTCATTTGATGGTATTAAACTCTGGTGGTTCACCTGAAAGGTCAATTAAATCGTGATGTTATTAGTAGCCTGCCATTTAAGCTATGTGTTATTCGCTATGAAGACATGTAATGTCATTTTAATGTCACTAAATTTTACAGACCTCACAGGTTTCTCTTTTACATCTGTCTTTATTCTAACATTGAATTAGCTTCATGATATGTCCTTAGTTGTTGTTTAAAAATTACAATGCGTTATTTCTAAACTTGGATACAATTTCACTCCAAATTTACATGTAGTGTAATTGAAGACCTTAAAAGACGACCTTTCCTTGGCAGGTAAAACTAAAACCCGGGAACTAAAATTAGTTCTTGCAGTAACCCCTGGTTATTTGCTTAAAATAGATTGACGACATGACTGAGTGACGCTGGTGTGGCAAGCTAAAAGAAATTTAAATTATTGCCAAAATAAACAAAATACATGTAGAAGGGACCGGTCACCAAAACAGAGATGTAAATAACAGCGTCACATTACAGAGTAGTTGGTCCATCAAAATACATGTAGTTGCGAGTTGATAGCTGAAACTGGTTTTAATTGAATCCTTTTTATAATCTCTGCGAAGCCTACAAATGAAGATTCAAGTGAAGAATGTGTAAAAAAAACTTGGATCACTTTTAGCCCAGATAACATAAGAATAATACTAACATTTGAAAGTGCCTCGAAAGTTTGATTCACTTTATGCTATTAAAACAAAGCCACCCGCACAAGTACAACTACACTCACTAAGCTAGCGATGTAAGAACTCAAGTAAACCGAATACATGCAAATTACAATAATCTGAGACTAAAGTTTTACATGCAGATTTTCCTAATTTGCGTGTATTTTCTCGTGTATTATTTCTTTACACGGGTGTTTCACACATGTTTTTCTCATGGAATTTGCGTGCAATATGGTGGATTTCCACGCATGAAACCCATGTGTAATGCTGCAATGCCCAGGACCTGTACTGTAGACTCTGAACATGACTACTGCACTTGTAAGTTATCGAAAATGCCCTGGTCACTGTCAGAAACAGAGGACTACACTCACCTGATGATCATATTTCACCTACTTTGAGTTGAGTACATTACAGTAAACCTAAGGCTACAATAATAAGCATAAATGTACCAGCAGTTCACACATGATCACATNTTTCAATTATTGCCAAAATAAACAAAATACATGTAGAAGGGACCGGTCACCAAAACAGAGATGTAAATAACAGCGTCACATTACAGAGTAGTTGGTCCATCAAAATACATGTAGTTGCGAGTTGATAGCTGAAACTGGTTTTAATTGAATCCTTTTTATAATCTCTGCGAAGCCTACAAATGAAGATTCAAGTGAAGAATGTGTAAAAAAAACTTGGATCACTTTTAGCCCAGATAACATAAGAATAATACTAACATTTGAAAGTGCCTCGAAAGTTTGATTCACTTTATGCTATTAAAACAAAGCCACCCGCACAAGTACAACTACACTCACTAAGCTAGCGATGTAAGAACTCAAGTAAACCGAATACATGCAAATTACAATAATCTGAGACTAAAGTTTTACATGCAGATTTTCCTAATTTGCGTGTATTTTCTCGTGTATTATTTCTTTACACGGGTGTTTCACACATGTTTTTCTCATGGAATTTGCGTGCAATATGGTGGATTTCCACGCATGAAACCCATGTGTAATGCTGCAATGCCCAGGACCTGTACTGTAGACTCTGAAGATGACTACTGCACTTGTAAGTTATCGAAAATGCCCTGGTCACTGTCAGAAACAGAGGACTACACTCACCTGATGATCATATTTCACCTACTTTGAGTTGAGTACATTACAGTAAACCTAAGGCTACAATAATAAGCATAAATGTACCAGCAGTTCACACATGATCACATGGCAACAAAAAAAACATACACACGAAAAGACGAAAGGCTTGAAAAACTTCTCGGCCAAGAGGGGATTGCCCGCTGGAAAAAAAGCCGTTGTTAAACTGTTCAACCAAATGTTCCAAACTTAGGTTACGCCATTCAAAGTACTAGTACAAGTAGCTACATGATCAACGACACAAGTGTACACAACAAATTAATAATCACAGCTTACATGTAGAATGCTTCTGACATTAATTGCCGTTAAGTTGTTCCTTCCTGCATTCTCCTCCAAAATTTCATCAATATCATCAATTTCTGGTTCTTTTTCACAAGGCTTTTCAGAACCGTAACCTTCTCCTTCCAGTTTAACATCGCTTTGTTTGACTCCACCGTTGTCATTTGATTTTGCTTTCTTCGCGGTGCGTTCTTCATCCTTTTTCTTATCTCTCTTTCGCTTTTTACCATTGGTAGCCTTAGGCATCTTTTAATCTACTGAATCCAACGAGTACGCTTGAAAATCAGTGATTTGTTTTCTGCGTTATTTACAGTGAAGTGATCCCTTTGCGCCATTTTTCACAACATTAACCATGATGCCCTGCGAGCAACCAGCACATGCACAAAATATTCCCTTGGGGGATGCGCACGGGCAATGTTTTACTCTTCATGCAGGAAGTGACTCAAACTATTGACTATCCAACGCAAGCAAAGAAATACTTTCGTTATTATCATGCCTTCCCCGAAACCTGTGCTTTTTACTTGCCTATTTATATTTTCGAAACAGAAACTTAAAGTATAGTGTGTGTAAACTTATGTCTTATTTTATAAATAATTCGACGTTTGGTTTTGAAATATTAAGAATACTTGAAATTGGAAAATTTAAAAAAAATTAACTGCTGTACCTGACAAAGCTATTTACGGTACTGAAAAATTATTTTAAAAAATACTGCCAAAAAATTTCTAGATATAGCGCCGACTTTGCGCAGCGTGGACTGACCATGGTTTAGCACTGCAGTGGGGCTTTGGGTCACTTGTGTTTCACTTGTGTTTGTACCGCCTTAAAAGCCATCCACCTCGTGCCTAGGCACTAATACGAACTTTCAGTTTACTTTAATGCAGCTAAATTCTTCGTTAAATTAGAAAACAGATCTTAAGTTCTCCAAGAAGGTTTCTAGCAATGTCTGGAGAACACACGCCAAGTTTAAGCGACGAAGAAGAGGATGACTTAGATTGCACGAGCTCTCAGCCGCAACTCCCTGAACTCCAAGACACCTTGTCAAAATGGACAAACTATCTTCACGGATGGCAAGAAAGATGGGTGGTCTTGAGCGGCGGCACTTTGTCGTACTATAAATCAGAGTACGATACAGCGTTTGGCTGTCGAGGCTCCATGAGCGTGGCTAAAGCTACAATTCAAGTAAGTTCGTGCTTGTGTGATAAGCTAGCTAATATCTGTAGTACTATTTAGTAAAGCCGGCATAATATTTAAGGTTTAGAGATCCAATATAATTGTTGTGCTAAATTTAAACGTGACGAAGATGATAGGAGTTCTTGATTTAAAAGATAAGGCGTGTATTCATTTTTCACAAGGCATAAACTTAAATTCATCTGAACACATGAATGAAGAGGTTTTGCAATGTGTCGGCGCACGCGGTGATGTTTTTGCTTTGGACGAAAAAAGAGGACCTTGTGGTTAAACCCTCACATACATTGTTTATATGTTGCCTTATGTAAACACGAGGATTAAAATATTTCGTATTTGACATTTAACTTAGTTTGATTATTATTAAAATGTTCTCTGTTGTAGCTACATGTAAGCTTAAAGTAATAGTATTCATCTTTGCGTTCTTTGCAGATGGCGTAGTTGCTTGTAACTCAATGCCTTTACATGCCGCGTGTTTGCCTCCCATTGTTTTGAAATTTGAGGCCCACTTGTAGATTAGTGTATTATATATTCCCCGTTTGAAACTTAATGACAAAAACAAATATCAACCTATTTATTTTTCAAAGGGATCTTTTATCTTGAAGCTACAAAAAAAACATTTCCTACTGGTAAATATTATGAAAAGTTTCCTTTTCTATGAAAATTTATTTTTAAACCTACAGTTGTTCTGTGAGTGAAGAGGAAGTTCTTAAGAAAAAAATGAATAAATTAAAACCCTCTGCATATCTACATGTGAAACTGACTTCTTCTGAGGATAATGCTAAACTTAACTTACTTATCCACGGAGGTTTTCTATTTGAACAAAATTGAATTTTATGTATAAATCTATAGCTGTCCCGGTAGTGAAGTGCAAGTTCTTGATAGAAAAGAATTTAAAAACCTTCTGCATGGGATAATTAAAACTTAAGATGATAGAAGACAGGATGTCAGTGTCTTAATAAAATTTACCATTGCGGTCAGATCTTGCCTTGATGTTTAGTAAAGGAGGGTACAGATCTAAGTGAACATCAGGCGGGGTTAAATTTGGTGGCCATTGTCTATAAATTAAGGTGGCTATTGTGTATTTTCTAGAGTGTAGCTAGTGAGTCTTCCCTGTTTCCATTAGTTATCATTTTGGCAACATTCTGGTATGCCTATGGTCACATTAACTTTGGGCACTAAACAGTGTCATAGTTGAAATATTCAGCATGTTCTTTTCATAATTTAGGGGGCCAAGGATAATCTATAATTAGGCTTTTTTACTATGTTTTTTTTTTTTTTGCTGAAATGTTAGACCACTAGTGTAATGTTTTATTTTCCCAATGACTTGTAGGTCATGTGTTGTTCTCAAAGGAATTAACCTAGGGTAATATTACAATGTACATGACACACAGTGGGAACCCAAAACATTTTAGGAGTTGACCATAATGCCTGGTTTCCCTTGGGCAACAAACTTCAAGAAGAAAACTTTCTTTTCCAAAAACTTTAAACTTGAGTGCTTTTATACTGAATTTAATGTTCT